TTATAGAAAGCTGTTTGCAGATCTAAATCACTGCTTTGACCAGAAATAGCTCTGGAAAGCAGTGGCTGCTGACCATCACCCAGAGGGACATGGAAAGGTGGTGAGGGGACATCTCTGACATGTGTGTCTCTTCCCTCATGTAAGAATTTGCTTGAGGAGCTGGTGTGTTTGGGGTGTGACTGCAGGGAGGTTTTACCTGTGCCTGCTGCTCCTGTCCTTTGCCAGGACTGCCTCAGGAGCAGGTCCCTCTCCTAGGTCCAAAAAGTCTCCTCTTGCCACACATCCCCAGGACTGCACATCTCCACCTCAGCCAAGGGCAGAGCCCAGCTCTGCCTGCTGTGCTGCCAATGTTCCTTCCCAAAGAAATGCCAGGCAGATGAGAAAAGGACAAAAGACAAGAGCTCAAGCCAGAAAGAGCCAGAAAGTACCCATTGCACACTGGGACTCTGCCCAGAGCCTGCCCCAGCCTGGTGGAGGTTTCAGCTCTCTCCCTTGCCTCCTCAGAGTCCACCAACGTGGCTTTCACCATCACCATGCTGCTGGCCAGCCTCAGCAGCTGCTGCAACCCCTGGATTTACATGTTCTTCAGCGGGCACCTCCTCCAGGACGCAGCCCGCTGCCTGTCCTGCTGGGGCAGGCCCCAGCCCGGGCTCAGGCCTCCACGGGCAGCCTCTGCAGCAGGAAAACCACCATCCTGAGCCACAGCCACCAGCCCAGCCCCACCAGCCTCCCCCTGCACGGGGGCAGCCCCAAGGACTTCTACCCACCCTGCGAGGAAGGGGTGATGGAGTCAGGCATGCTCTAGGCTGAGCACATCCCAAAGGACAGCTGCCCCCAGGGGTGACCCCATGAGCACTGTCACTGCAGAGCTGTGTCTCTCCCCCCACCTCATTTTGCAGAAAGCTGGATGTTTAACCCACAAGTCATTCCTCTCCTTGTGTGCTGCTCCTGCTGCGAGCACCGGGGGGGGGGATGGACAGAGCCCCAGCAGCCGTGGCCTGACCACAGCACCCACCTCCCGCCTTGGGAAGCCTCCCCTGCCTGGCTGCTCTCCCCCAGGAACACCTCACAGTCAGGTACCCCCCGGGAACGCTGCAGCAGTGAGTTTTCCTGGAAGGACCTGGGGGGTTCACAGACGCCAGCGGAGCTTTGGGCGCAGCGGGAGGCACCGCGGCCGCATCTGCCCCAGAACTCACCAGCCATCCAGGCAGACCCAGCCTTCCCACGCCCCGGGGCACGGCACACGCTGCCCCAGCTCCCCTGCAGCTTCTGTCTCTGCCCTGGAGCCGGGACCCTCCCCCTCTGCAGAAACCGGGGGGCAGGAACGTCCCCTCTCCTCTCGCTCCCCCGTCCCAGGCAGCCCTGGCCACGCTCCGGCTTCTCCCGGCACTTCCCATCTGTTTTCCCAGCAGCTCCAGCCCAGGGAAGAGCCGCCCTCCAACTCCTGCTGCTCGTGTCTTAGCAGAGGTGAGAGCACCGGGGCCCCGAGGCGGCTCCGGGGAGCACAGAGGGGGGGCAGCAGGGAAGGAGCCAGGACCCCGCAGTGCCAGCCGGGTCCCTGCCCTTCTCCCTGCGTGTTTTGCATCTCCCAGACACCGTTTTCCTTAAGAAGGGTGGGCGAGGCAGGCAAGGACACCCACAGCTCCTGCTGCTGTTGGGGATGTGTAAACACCCCAGAGAGCAGGTACCAGATTCCCTGCAAGCAAGGTGCATTATTCCCTCTATTATTCACAGGCTAAATCTGTAAAAATAAGACATTAAGAGTAAAGTATTTTGAAATCTTAAGTTATTTTCACTTATTCATCACCAAGCATTTGCATCGGATTTTCCAGAAACTCCCACTTGCTGGGCTTGATCTCATCTCCTGTTCCATAACCCACCTCTCCTGGCCTTGGCAACATTTCCCAGAGGTTATTTGGAGTTCTGAACATTTTCCTTCATGTGCCCTTCAAATTGGGCCAGCTCTGCACAATAAGGTCACAAAGCCAGGAGTGCCTGACCCCCAGCCCCCCCAGATCAATACCAAATCAATCATCTCACAACCTCTCATTAAGGCACATCTCTGCTGAGACAACTGGAAATGCACTCAGGGCAGCTCCATCAGCCCTCCAGAGCTCCCAGCTATTGCACTGGTTTCCTTCCCCAGCACTTCATAATACAGGGTATTTCTTGAAAAAAAAATCATAAGCAACAAAATGCAGAGAGATGGGAAGGAAGGAACCAGCTCCATTGGCAGCAGTGATTTGCTGCAGGAGAGGGAGGCCAAGAAGCCCCAGCACAGGCAAGGCTGGCCAGGCACCAGCTCCCCTAGACCTCAGGAGCATGAAAATGACCCAATAAATGTCATCACTGACCTCCAAGAAGAGACCAGCCCTCCCAGCACACCCAGCTCAAAATCCCAAGCTGGAGGGGCCCCAACTTGGTTTTGTTAGAGAAAATTGCACTTCCATGCACTGAGTCTCCTGGGAATTTAACCAATACTCAGGGAAGTGTTAAACAGGATGTCAGATCATGGGGAGCACCAGCGTGTGCCCCAGCCCACATGCTGACCCCCCCTCCTTGGCTTCATTCAGGTGGGGAGAGGCCAAATCCTGCACCCTGGGCATTTGGTGCAAGGACAATGCAGGAAAAGGTGGGAGACAGGGAATATCATCCCAGATATGGAGAGATTTGACTTGCCTGGGCTCACATGGAGACCTGTGGCCCAGTCCTGTGCCCCTCACAGCTAAGGGACCTGCAGCCAGCCCAGGTCCTCCCCAGGGAGGGGGGGTATAAATCCCCATGGAAGCCCTGGGCCATCTGGGCTGATGACCATGGATTTCAGCTGGGGGAAGAAAATCCCTGGTAGGA